CCCCTTTCCCCTCTTTTCCCCAATCCCCCAATCCCCCGTCTTCCCTGGCTCCCAAGATATGACTGATTTTTTAATCTTTTTTGTTCTCTTTTTGCCCTGCCGACTCCCTTACCCATGTTAAAAGTACATTGCATTAAGATGATTTAAGAGACGGGGGTGTTTCGATCCTGCCTGTAAGTGCCAGTTACTGGTAAGTGAAATACAGTACCCCAAAAGAAAGACGGAGATGCTTAAAGATATAGACTTCCTCATGCTAGATTCAAACTCAAGCCTTTTGTGTGAAGAACCTAACCACTGCATCGAAGACACCGGTCCGTGCGAGAAAGTTCCAACAACTATAAAACAATAACAAAATCAAAAACAAAAACAAAAAGCACATGTGCCCTAGATAGCCTTGACCTTTGGTTGTAGTTTTAGTGAATGAAGTTATTTCAAGAAAGAATTAAACGAAAATGGCAACTCGCCTACGCCGTTTATCGTTTTTGTCGGGGGAGGTATATAATTGCTTGAAACATGACAATGTGTCGCAATAAAGCCACAATGAAACAACAACATTCCTCAAAAGTTACATGTACCCGGCTGTACCGCTTTAAAATGTCGTGCGCGCCGGAAATGGGCGGTGCTAGTTTCTATATCCAGGAAAGGCATCGATCGTCTTTTTTACACACACACACAAAATCCTTCGCCTTAAACATCCGAACAATAATTTTGTTTACGAGCAGAATGCCTAACTTTGAACGGATGAGATAAATTTCTCTTCGATTAAGCCAGTCAAATTGAAGGTGGCGGAGAAAATAAATTTGTCTACAAGGTCTCGTTTGTAGTTCGATAGTTTTAGATAATTTTAGCAGGTTTTGTTGCTCGCACTAGATATCCTCACCTATTAAAATGATCACATCAGATGCACTGACTCTTGTTACAGTCAGCACTGCTATCTAAGTATCTAGTGAATGTGCTTCCCTCCTTGCTGGATAAATACCTAGCTATTATCAAAACTAATTGCTATAACTTGGGGACATTGAAGATCACGACACAGCCATTACAACCTGTAGTTCAGAGCAGTATCTGCGTCATTTTGTTGAATAAATCACGAGTATTCTGTAAGCTGCCGGGTAATAATGATAATAAATATAGCATGTGTATAGCGCATATCCCCGCTCGACAGCAAGCTCTATTCGCTTTACACTATATTATTACCCCAACAGACCATAGAACACTCAGACACATTCTCAGCTTCCCGAGAAGCATACAGTGCAAGCCGTTGATTAACCGTTCAAACACTACCAAACTGGCAAGACCTTTCACTGTCTATAAGGTAACCCGCAATATCATCCAGCGTAGAAAATAAATGTCGGAATATCAAGGTCTACTTCAACACAAAAAGAGACATTGTAAAATTGAAACGTTTAAAAATGTAACAAAAAAACACTGAGTTTTGTGCTTTTGGGGGCAGGCACTGACATTGAAAAATCAAGTAATTAATTAGTTGTTTATAGAAAGCTTTGATGTTGAAGGATCACCTGCCATGTTCGACTTTGGTAAGTCCCATATAAAGGCTGTCCATTTTAGTGAACAATTTTAATTGACAATATCTCCCTCTCATTTTGTACTCTCTGTTTTAAAGAACAAAAGAAGGGGGGAACAGATTGTACCAATGCTATGATTTATGAATGTGCGGATGTGTGTCCCAGCGTCTGTATGCCTGTGTATTTGTTTGCCTTTGCATCAGCGTACAGTTGTATCTGCGTGCCTATGCTATGTACGTGTGCGAGTGTGTAGGTGTGTGTATGTGTATGTGTATGTGTATGTGTATGTTTAGATAGATAGATAGATAGATAGATAGATAGATAAATAGATAGATAGGTAGATA